AAAGAAGACCTTAGAACTTCTTGTCTTTATTAGTGTTGTGGGCATAAATGAAATGTAGGGATGAGTGAGTTAGAAAATTCTGAATCTCCAGCTACAGCGGTAACTTTACAGGAAAAAACTTTTTGGAAATTTAAGACAAAAAAATAAAAGATAATGTTTCTTCAAGAAAACAGAATGGTTTGAGATGAGGAGAGATGCCATCCCCATGTTCCAGAGTCGTGTGCCAAACATCAGACTGCCCACTTGCATACATAATATGCAGTACCCTGTAAATGTCCTTTCCTCCTATCCTGCCCCCTAGCTTGAGGACACTTGAATACAACTCTTCCTATAGGCTCTTCTTTTCCTGTAAGGTGATGTTGTTTTTTGCCAGTTGGAGGAGATGTTCTTTTCATCATGGTAGGCCTGGGACTCTGTCCCATTGAACCAGCTGAGGGCTAGTGGTTTGGATTTGTTCCCTCTCACAGGCAAATCGATTTGTGTAGCTTTTAATAATGTAATGTTCTCCTGGCAAGGCATTTCTAGCATTTGTTTACTTTGGGATATGCACCTGCAAGCAAAGCTTAAGCTGTTAGAAACAACCCCAGTGATCTGTTTCTTGCAGGAATTAATTCAAAATGTAAGATGGGATTTCATAGCTTTATGGGATCTTGTAAAAATCTTAGTTGACTGTAATAGTCGTGCATTTGAGTCTGTGATTGATATATGTACCAGTCTTTCCGTCTGGCAGATGTTGCCCAAATGTAGTTTAACTCACTGGTTAAACTCACTCACTGTTTTGTTCATTTTCTGGCAAACAGTTCAAACAGTTAGTCCCCACTGAATGTGTTCATTAAAAATCTGTTAGCTTTGCTTGGTGTAGGGTTGTTTTGGTTTTGTTCTGTTTGTTTTGGGTTTGTCTGGTTTTTCTTTCAGGGAAGGTGGGTGCTAGAGGTGAAAAGGGGTTGATAAGTGCCTGGCTTTTTAGGCATACAACCTAGGCTACTGACTTCAGCCAACAGAGGTGCTTTTCACAGAATCACAGAACGTTAGGGATTGGAAGGGACCTCAAAAGCTCATCCAGTCCAATCCCCCTGCCGGAGCAGGAACACCCAGAGGAGGTTACACAGGAAGGCGTCCAGGCGGGTTTTGAATGTCTGCAGAAAAGGAGAATCCACAGCCTCTCTGGGCAGCCTGTTCAGTGCTCTGTCACCCTCACTGAGAAGAAGTTTCTTCTCCATTTTCAGTGGAACCTCCTGTGTTCCAGTTTGTGTCCATTACCCCTTGTCCTATCATTGTTTGTCACCGAGAAGAGCCTGGCTCCATCCTTGTGACACTCACCCTTTAAATATTTATAAACATGAATGAGGTCTCCCCTCAGTCTCCTCTTCTGCAAACTAAAGAGACCCAGCTCCCTCAGCCGCTCCTCAGAAGGGAGATGCTCCACTCCCTTGATCATCTTTGTAGCCCTACACTGGACTCTCTCCAGCAGTTCCCTGTCCTTCTTGAACTGAGGGGCCCAGAACTGGACACAATATTCCAGATGTGGTCGATTTTCATGGCCAGCAGAGAGCTGCTGAACTTGAAGTCTACATGCTGAATGGCTTCATTGCAGTGAATCGTCTGGAGGTGAATACATCTGACCATTGTGTAGCTTAATGGAGACCAAGTACCGTTACCATTCCCCTGCACAGTTAACTTGAAATAATCAGAGTATTTGAAGGCTTTGAGGTGCCCAGCTCCAGCTGATGGCAATGTGTGTTGTGAAAATCCAGCCTGATAATCTCTAAAAGGAGCATTCAGAATAGTGTGGAATAGAGGAAATAAAGGTGAAGGTAACTGCAGGCATCTATTACTGAGAAGTACGCTTTTGCTGCCAGGATAAAAGCATATTTGCAAAGTGCTGGATACCAAAAGGTACAACTCCATAGAGCCTCCTGAGTCCTTCTCTGACACTTTAAAGTTATTTGTGATATGTTCACTTGGTAAAAGTAAGTTGTTATATTTGGGTGTGTCTGTGAATATTGCAGTATTTGATTGCATAATAGCATTTTACTGTCCCTTACCTTGGAAATAGGGTTACTAATTAAATATTAAATAACTACCGAGGATCTCTTGCACTGCCATTTGCAATCAAACATTACTGGGATTCATGGAGATCTTTAGCTGTTGGTAATAATAAATACTAATCAGTAGCAGAGCATTGCACAGAGTGCCAAGCAGGGATCAGGAGCATATGTTTGCAGAGCAGCTAATGTACCTTCTCTAGATGCTGCTGGATCAGGTGCTGCAGTTACAGTAACATGGAAATGACTGCCTTCTACGCAGCAATTGAAAGTACCACCAAAAGCTTGGTAAGTAAGCATTATTATTTTTTTTTTTCCAGAGAAGTTATTTTAATACTGGAAACGGGGGGAGTTGGGAAACAGAATGTGTCTGCTAAATGGTAACTCCGTTGGATTATTTTCATGGTGGTGAGACTTAATGAGCTACAGGAAGGGATCATAATTTTGTTGGCAGCGGTATAAGGGCAAGGATAAAAATTGTCACATCTGATGATTATCTTTGGAGGAAAACAAAAAATCATTAGGGATAGGCATGTGGAACAGATGCAGGGAGATTACACTGATGTCTCGGAACCTTTAATTTCTCTTGAAGAGTATGTATAGAAAAGCTTATTTTCAGTCAAGAGACAGTACATATTTTTCTGACTAAACCAACGAGTACTTTGGATCAGGATCTCTTTGGCATATCTTTTTGAAAGGTATTTGTAAAATGTCATGAAAGCAGCTTGTGCAGAAGGCCAGCTGCATTACAAAGTCAAGCAAGGTCAGAGTTGTCAAAGGATAAAGAAATATAGAATGTATAATAATGCAGCAATGGTTCGTGAAGTGATTAATTTGTATTTTATTTTCCCCAAAGTGTCTTTACCTAAGTCTTATGAAATGCTCACTTTTTAAATACAGGTCAGTCCTGATTTTTCATGGAGTTTAACTTGGGAGTAACCAACCCATTCACAGAAGGTAATATATACAAGAGGTGAAATCTTGTCTCCCCTGAAGTCAAGGACAAAACTACCATTAACTTCAATGGGGCCAGGATTTCTTTTACTATGTTGCCCAGTAGACCAGTGTGGAACAAAACTAGTTGCCTTAGGGATTTTTAATAGGCAGCTGACTCAGATGAACAAAAAATGTTTTACTTGTCTGACATTCAGGTAAAATCATGAACATACTGAACTTTCTTTTGCCAACTGAGTTCTGGGCCTCTGTTAAGGTTGTGTGACATACATTCTGCTTAGTTGTGCTGGCTAAAAAGGGAGGAAAAACAGGCCTGAAAGTCTTTGAAAATCAGATAATTGTTAATTAATTTTTTTTTTAAATAGATGCAGTTTTTCCCTTCCAGGTATTTCTCTTTTATGCAGGGAAAAACAGGCAGCAAAACAATCTCCTTAGGCTTTTGGCTTCCTTTAGGTTTTTTTATGCAAAGAGAAAGCAGATGCCCAGGAATGACAGCAAAATTGCTGAAGGTAGGAATTCAAAGCTGGTAGTATGACAGGAAGGGTATATTTCTCCAGAATCCACTACCATATCCAGTTTTGCTCAGTATAATTTTTTGGTAACATTTTCTCTGTGAATTGTGTTTATCCTTGTTGGTAGCAGGTCTAATTAGCATCGTGTTCCCTGAAGCCTTCTCCAGTAATACGCCATACTTGCTGGGTGGCTCCCCTACTGCTCAGAGCAGCCAACAAAGCTGCCTTTAACTCTGGCATGTGTTTCTACTTTTGAAGCTGAAAACTTAATGGACAGCCCTCCTTCACTCTGTCTGGGACTGAACTCTGTTAGAGTTCCTCTGTCAGAGGCCAGCAGGGTTGCCCTTGGTGTACTCTGAACTTGGCTAAAACCAGAAGTATGCCCTGAGCTCAGTTTTCGTGAGGCACAGAGAGCAGTTTGTAGCAGTTTTCTTGTATATTTTTGTAAGCAAAGTGGTTAGAGTACTGTGCTTTATGCTGGGCTAGTCTTTACCTGCATCCCCTCAAATCACATAGATGCTGCTAGTGTGCCCCAGGCTTTTCCCTATGGTTTTAGGAAGGACTGAATCCAAAATAATGCTTAACCATATCTGTGTTAGATCATCAGTTGTAGGCAGCTAATGAACGCATCAGTCTGTCTCAACAGGGGAGCTTTAAGAACCACAGAGGTCAGGTCTTTGACAGTTTAGTTTTCCTGGCCCACTAGTAGCCACCATGCCTGGTTCACTCAGGGGCCAAATGCTGCTGCTCCTGTGTGCAAGGCTTCCTGCTTATAACTTTCCTCCACAGACTCATCATCCTGCTAAGATCATTGTGGTGGGTGGAAATGCCTCCAAGTGCCAACCACTGCCTTCACTGTCCCAACTAGTCTTAATCACTTTCTCTGAGTGACACCTAGATGATTGGAGGAAGAGATTATCAGCCACTTCTATTAGCCAGAGAAGTCAGAAGAGAGATTTTACCAGGAAAAACGAAGAATATATAGAAGAATATATAAGACAAACTAAGATTCTTCCTTCACTTGAATGTTCAAGCCTCGTTTAATAGATCCTTGGCAGTAAATCAAGGCTTAAGCCTGCCTGTAAAAGAAACTCTTCTCTGCTTAAACTAAACTCTTGCTAAACTGTGCTGATACTGAATGTAAACACACTGCAACATATTTCAGCCTCTGGGATAGGTTTGGAGGCCTATTTTAAACCAGGGCTCTCTAGGATATATTTCTGTTAGTAGCTAGCACTAGCTACCTATATGTATTTTGCAACAGGAGAGCAACTCTTTGTAGCTGAGCCCTTTCCTCCTGGTTCCACCAGACATTTATCTAACTTGCATGCCTGAGCACCTTCCGCCATCAGTAAGTGGCTGCTCATCCTGAAAGGGAACAAATTTTGGTACATGACTGTGAAAAACTGCTACTTAAATAAACAGACCTGTTTTGTGGCAATTCCTTCCCCGCTCCCATTAACCTTTTTCATTAGAGGAATGACAGTACCTCCTCTGGAGTTTTTTCAGAAAGCAAAGCCATTGAACCTCCAGCTTGTTCAGTAGGATAGTCAGGAAACCTGCCTCGGATATGCCTGTGTGAGAAACAAAAGATGGAAAAGAAATTAAAATCCATAATTTTTCATCTGGTTGACAATGTTGTTAGATGATGGAGAAGCATACCCTCCCTCACCTCTTACTCAAAACCAGAGCTGGCTCACTTCTTATGACAGTGGCTTTTTATCCAGTAAATCCATTAAGACAGTTACCAACCCACGTCTCGCCCTATGGTCCATCAAACACTGAAAGTTCTTATGGAATTTCTTAGGACTGCATGTCACTTCATAGCTAGAGACACACAGTTAAGTGTTCATGTTTATAGCTCTGCTCTCCGATTTCAACATCCAGCTTTCAAAAAAAATTTAAAATCATTCATTTCAAGTAGATTTTGATCTACAAATTCCAGTTTTTATTTCTGTTTGAGGAACTCCACCCTCAAAAATTTCCAATGTACTTGCACAAATGGGTGGCAATGGAAGTTGGGGAGGGGGCAATGAGAGGTTTTTTTGGTAAGGTTTTATGGATGGCATACATAACATAGGTTGCTTCCAGACCTTTCAGAAAGAGATTAAAAGATATAACTTCAGTTTAAAGGCCATTTATATTGATAAGACTCTCTAACTTTTCCACGTTTGTAGCTTTTTGGGTTATATCAGTAAGATTTTTCCGTTTATTTGGTAATATCAGGAAGATTTTCCTGTTCCAAAGAAAATTCTGACACCTCAGAAAAATGCTTGTGCTATTTTCAAAGAGAATGGTAATGTTTCCTCTAAATGAAATGAAATTTCCCTTGAGAAGAAAAGAGCTCAGAAAGGTCAATGTGATTCATAAAAATTACTTTCATTTTTTTAAAAACAACTGGTACCTTAAGGGATTTTCCTGGTCTACTGCTAAGCAGTAGACTCAATTTAAAACTGAGAACCTTGGAACAGAGCATCTGTTTCGTTTCTATAGTACCATGTGTAGGGTTTGGATCCCTTACTAGTGTTAACGTAATACCAATTACAAAAGCATAAACATTTGCCTGTGATTGTAAGCTCTGACTTGCATGTTCAACAATTACTAGTTCTATATGGAAACAGAAGCAAAACTTTGGTCATTGCATTTCCAGAAACCAGTTTGGATGAACAAAGGAATATAATTGTTAGTGTATGTATTTTTAATCTAGTAAGAATGAGATTTTGGCCTCAAAAGTCTGCATCATCTAGTTTATTTAATGTTAGATCATGCTTAATTTTTAAAAAACAGCCAGAAAATAGCTCAATTTTATGTTAAATGCAGTCTTGTTTTAAATGCTGCTACAAGTCTGGCTTACAGCAACAAATTCCTCAAAATCTGATATTAAGGCTGTTGCTACTTTACTAATGTCAGCTGGGAGGAAGGAAAGGCAATATGCGCTGCGGGTGAAGTATCAGCTTGGAGTCGACTGCCCGCTGAATGGGGTATCAGTGCCAGCTTTCAGTATTTATCAGTGTTACATTTGGTATTTGTATTAGCTTTTCACTTTTAAATCACTTACAGTTCTTGGAGATGGAAATATTTACCCTTTGGATATGTATGATGAGTGTATATGAGTGCTGTTGAAATTCTATCAAATTCTCAAATTTGGAAGTGGCTTCCAGTTTGTTTATAATCTGTATTTTCTGAGTGATTCTTCTGTTCACAGCTGGTGCAGCTGTTTGGGATGACGTGGCTCATCTCATCTTTTTGTAGCAGCTACAGCAAGGGCTTATGTTGAAAGATAACTTGAGGTGAAGAGAAGGTGATGCCAGTCTTTTCACACAGGTGGAAGAAAAGTGTCAGCCATTTACTAACCAGTCAGCTGTCTGGGGACTGGGTCTTCAGTTGAGGGCAATGCAGAACGTAAGTTCCCATGGTCATCAGTGACATGAGAGCAGACAGCTACCACACGTTTCAGTCATGCTAATTCTTCAGGGACATTTGTCTTTTCTTTCTGGACTTCATCCTTTCCTGTGCACTGTTATTTAGCATATAAATCAATGTCCAGTGGTCAGGGAGCAGTATTCTTAAGTCTAATTTCCTTATCTGACCTCTTATAGGTTTTCCTCTTTCTCTTCTAGGTTTAAATGACTACAACCTCAATCTTGTAATGCCTGGAAAGCATGCACGTGCATGACCCTCAGAGACAAATTCCTCTCTCTATGAAACCTCTGAGTTCAGAGGTTAAACCAGGGACTCATTTGGCCTGTAAATCTGCACAGAAAACTACAGTCATTGATCTTCCTGTTCAAAGGTCCATTTAAAAAGTAATTAATCTCAATTTTCATTGTCTGTTCACTTTTTGGCAGTATTCTACTCGGAACCATCACAATGGGTTGTCTGACGCATTTGTCATAAAATGCTAATTTGGATTCAACTGGATCTGAACTATTTTGTATAAGCTTGTTTTACAGTTGATGCTAATGGCAAAATATCAAGATAAAATGAGCAGCCAGCATGCGTTGCATGAACAGCCAGGGGTATTCCTGTATCTTTTCTCTATCGGATACGCTACATGTCGTCTGTAGCTCAAGAGTGTTCCACCAGACATGTCTCACATTGAACAGGGAACAACAGCTCTTGAACTAGGTCAGTCTTCCAAATATGTAGAATCATTTTGAGCTTCCTTTACAACAATAATTGTTAAAATAATTTTAAACCGCTCTCTCTTTTGAAGCTTCCTAGACACAGTGAAGTATTCATGATTAAAGCTAGTTCTAAGGCAACAATACTGAAAGAAATTAATCCAGTTGATGTAAAAACTTGCTCCAAACTCAAGCCTGGAGTGCTGTCTTGTTTTGCTGGAAGTGTAGAGGAGAGCTTTTACGGTGGAAATCCTTCTTTGTTCCACCTGTGTGGCACTAATGGCACAACCACGCTATAAATCAAGACTTACAGGAGGTGAAGCTGCAGAGGTTTCCACAGTCAACTACTGGCCTGAAAATGGAACTGGGGACTAGAGGAGCATTATACCTGCACCTGTGTTGTTCATTGACTCCAAAAGTTGAGTTGCAAATACAGCCACTGTAAGGCTCTTTAGAGATCATTTGGTGGGAATTTCAGACTGGTGTTTGGTATTCAGATTGCTCTCTTGGTTGAGTGAAAAAAGAAAACCACTCGGTTTGCATATCCCCTAATCTGCCTGACTTTTATTTTCAGTATTCATAGTACCTTGACACTTCCTTTGTGTGTCAGTCACTGTATCTAACTGACAGATTACTCACAAAGTTTACACACCCTGATGCTTTCTGTGCATGTCACTGACAAGGGAGAGCTATACGAAAACTAAATTGGTGGTCAAGAAAGTCTGAAAGTCTTCTCGCATGTTGATGGGGAAGGGAGAATGAAATAGCTTAAGCTCTTGGTAAGAAGAGTATTGGAGTGTGTAATATATTTGAGAGAAATGGTACATGTCAGAAACACCTGGTTCCAAGGCAAGTCAAAACTCAATGAATCTGTTACTTATTATCGTCTCAACATTTGCAGAGGAAAAAAAATATCCAGTTGTGCTTTTCCACCATCTCATAAAAATGTGTAAATGCCAGAATTGGAAGAAGCAACTCTTATTTTCAATGCAATTGCTTCAGTGGGAGCGCTGACAATGTTTTAAGGACTGTAAACAAAAGCAGAAGCAAATTCTATTTGATTTCATATGGAGGACGCATTTCTAGTAAAACTACCTAAATTAACAAATGCAATTTGTAATGAGTATGGCTGCTTGGTAGGACTGGACTTGGTGGCTACGCAGAAGCAGATAAGGTGAGACAGAAGGGTAAGTCTAGGGAGAAACCTTCTTGTGAGACAAACTTCAGCAGTAGCCTAGGCAGGGTCATATATAACAACCCCAAAGCCTGCTGCTTCCCAGTCTGCAGGCAAGTTGCTGAGGCTGGTTCTTGTGGGTGACCTGCTCCTCCTTGTGTAGTCACAAGTCACTGAACAGAAACTTGTGTTTGGGAGCATTGCTTGCGCTGCTGCAAATCAAACTGATGAGTGCTAGAGTTCGTGGTAGGCAAAATACATTTCTCTGGGTCAGAGCCACCGCTTTAACAGAGCTACTAAATGTTTCTGTGCTGCGGAGGGCATTGCTGAAGAACGGACCTTTAGAAACTGTGCTATGTGAGAAATCCATTACTTTTCTGGAAAGCAGTGAAATCCTGTCAACAGGAGCATAGCATGGGTTTGGTAAACAGCTCTACAGAAAGGCATCTAATTGGAATGAATGGGGGCTCTAAATCTGAATCAAACTAGCTCAACCAGAAGAGTAAAGGGATGAACAAAGACGGAGGAGTGAAAAGAGACGATCTTCCACTCCCAGCTAAAAAAGAAAAGGATCTGATGAGATTCTTGTGCTGCTTCTCAAGTTACATTCTGTTCTCTGGTTCACTGTGACTGCTCTCTCTCTTTCCAAACATATTCCTCTTACACTTGACAGATCTAAGTTACTATAATTGAAAAAGAATGAACTTTTATGGTCTGCAATGCAAACCCTTTTGTCTCTGATCATGTAGCATAGAGTTCTGGCTCTTCTGGGCTCAATTTTGTTTTAGCACACAACGCACATAAATGCCCAGGTTTTAACTAGGTTCAAATGGTTCTTTAACATCTCCAAATCACTGCCAGACTTGGCATGAGTCAGTGTGATTGGCAGTCTCTACTGAACTCTCTGCTCAGCCCTGAATGCAGCAGCACCTCATTTCTGACCTATAAAATAAATTCCTTGTCTGGGAGATGAGCCTACACTGTGCTTGTCTCATCTGCTGCTTCCTCCCATCCTCATTTCAGAAGCATCACCATTTTTAAGTGTTTTCTCTCTATTCCACGTTGCTCAGGGATGGTTATAGTTAAGGCTAAATATGGCTTTTGATTTATGAGAGCACACTATTGATTTAAACATTTTGTCTGATAATAGTCTCAACAAGTTCCTACCTACTCTGTTCTCTGGCACGATTTTACACGTGTTATTCTTTCTTTTTGGCCATGGCTTCTCTAGCTAATTGCATAAAAGGTCTTGTCAGGAAAATTTTAAAAATGTTCTTTGGAGGAAAAAGAATGCTTAACTCTTTTTCAGGGTAAGAAAGGATGTGGGCTGTGCGCAGAAGAAAAGGCATGAAGGATGGCTGTATGCTCTAGGTGGAGGAACAGCAGAGTGTTCTCCGCGGAAAAGGAACAAAAACAAAGGGTGGGAGGAACCCTTTACAGAAATAAGCCTCTCGCTGTTTTGTAGTTCTTGCCTATTTCTCTAATCCCACCTGACATGGGTTCACTCAAACTACTTAAATAGCAGTGTAGGTTTATTTTATGTGTCTTTGCTGAAGCATTTTTTTCCTTTAGTGTGTATGCTTTCTTTAGCTCTTTGAAAATAACTTACAGGAAAAATAACTTACACAAATACAAAATTACTTATAAAGCAAGATTAATTTCCACCGGCTTCTTGTCATCTTTAATAGGTTTGGACTAAGTCATATTACAACTTACGTTTTATCTAAGGTCGTGATGCTCCAAGCATTTGCTTGTATGCGCGATTGTTATGCATGGAAGTAATTCAGTGGAGTGACTTGCAGGGAGAAATGTTTGGAAGATTGGAAACTTTATTGTTCTGGATAAATATTTGGCTTTGAAAATTTAAGACCAAGTGTTGTGAGGCCAACAATGTGCAAGAAATATTCCCATGGAGGAATGGGTGTGAAAGGTTTGTGGGGAAAGGTGATATCCTTTATTACAGTAACTATCATAATTAAAAACAATAGATGGTCTTTTGGCTACCCAATGCCTGCCTTAGATCTGAAATGGTAGAAGTCAGCTTCAAAGCCAAGTAATATCTGGGAACAGTTGTTGAAGGGGACAGACCTAAATGTGGTATGTGGTAATTCTCTCTGATAGTTTTATTACATGTAGTATTATTGGCCTGGAAAGGTAGGCCTTTGGCTGACCCAGTACAGTTGTTCTTAAGCTTCTTGAGTTCTTACAGTGAAACAGCCTGTTCTGCTTTGACAGAAAGTTATTTTACCTTTTCAAGGGTCCTCCTGGTCTTTTAACGATAGCAATGGATAATTAGTGTACTGGAAAAAAGAGAATTTGTTCCCTGTCAGACAGACTCGAGCATGAGCTTTCTCTGCCACCGCTCCTGGTTATCCTGCCTCCTGCAGTAAACTACAGGGGAAAAGGATTTTTTTAAACCTATCGTTTACTTCAGAATTCTGACAAACTATTCCTGGATTAAAATGGCAATAGGTTTTCTCCTTTAAATGGATTGGAGACATGGGAAGGTAGCACTGCTAATTACTGCTAAGTTTTTGAATAGAAATAAGAGGTAATATGGGCATGAATAATGCCAAGGAGAAACAAAAAGGCTTATTTTACAGTTGCAATAATAGCTTAAATTTAAAAAAGAATATGGAAAAATCAGATCAAAAATTTGGCAATATCAACACTCACAAAATGTTCTGGTATTGCTGATTTTGCATGTCACTCCCTACCACAAAGAAAAGATTGCAAAAGGTTTTCTCAGACCTCAAATATGAATTAACTCGGGACTGGGAGAAGCCACATCCTGACCTAAGTAACTGAATTCCTTTACAAGAGTGAATAACATCCAGCCCATACTGAAAGCTTAGACAAACCTAGAGAAGATGAGTATTAAATTTACTTACTGTGGTATGGAAATGAAAATAAGATTAAAAGGGCTGGAAAGCAGAGTCTTCTAAGGTTATTTAGGTTTTTTTGGCTTAATGCAGAACAACAGCTGTGCTGTTGGGCAGAGCTGCTGGTAAGCCTGGTGTGAGGCGCTCTGTAGTAACAATGAAAGCATCTTCTGGTGGACCCAAGGACACCTGGATGTCCCATCCCTGCTTTTGGAGGGAATGGTTTCTGAGCAGGGAGCAGGGCACATCACAGTGTCACATAGCAGTCACTAGTCTGCTGTATTTCTATTGCTGTTGGCCTTGCCAGGCCTACCAGTAACTGCCAGCAAGGAATTAATCAGATCAACTGTGTGTACTTGTGTTGGGGTAAAATCTTGCTTATCGGAAACCGGCCTGAGAGAATCTGAAATCCTCCCTTTTTGTTCCTCTGAAAGCTACAGAACAGAATCTGACATCCAACACTGCACTTGTTTTGCTTCCTAGGTCTACATTTCTTTTAGTGCTTGCCCTCTTTTGGACTTGTTCTGCATTTACTGGAGCTGTGAAGCACATGCTGTCTTCCTTGAGGGGCTGTCTTAGGGGGGGACTCCCCCTCTTTCACAGCCTGAGTGTCCCCAGGCTTATTTCCAGTGTCAGCTTCCTGTTGACTGTCTACAGGCTTTTGAGGAATGGTATCCTGTCAACCCAGCTGTAAGGAGAGCAGGTTGAGCAATCCGTGCTGTGAAGGAAGAACTCCCCTCAGGGCCCAGGACCACATCTGGGAGACTTGGCTGATGGAGCAAGGACTGCTGATGGAGCAAGGACTACTCTGGAGCATGCAACTCTTGTTAAACTCTCATCTGTTTTGATTTTCTTCTATCTTTCCATTCTCTTTAGAGCAAGGTCAAAAATACAGAAGCTGGCTCAAAGAAATACCAGGTCAAATTCTCCTTGCATTTACTGAATTCCTTACCTTTGGTCAGCTTATCCTGCCTGCACAAAATGCTCAATCCTGACTCAAATTGGCAATATATCCTGTGCTTAGTATTAAACTTAAGAGACTGAAACAATTATGGCCAGTTTTAAGCAAGATTACTTTAACTCAGACTAGAAGCTTTGCGAGAATAGCTTTCCTGCAGAGTCAGCCAGAGGGAATCAACAGTACTTTATTAACACAATATGAATTCTGTAAAGAGGAAAATAAAGCCTGCAATTTTTGTAGCAAGGCCAGCCAAAAGAAATAACTTGCCCTCCAACATCACAAGTTTCTTTGGGATTTGGAATGAAATGGACTACGGAGAGCATTTTATCTTATTGGATTTGTTTATGAGAAATTCAAGCAATCGCTTTTGCTTCTAG